AAATACGAAGCTGCTCTGCTCTAGTGCGCATTCGCTCGCGCACCCACGACTTTTCGAAAGCAATCTTTAGATTATAGGCGGTTCACGGCAGGTCTAATATTTTTTACACATTGTTGATTACAAAGTTACTTGCGGAAATCATTTTTGTGATTCTAAAAGCTATGAAAGACCTACTTCTGTGACATTCAGCTTAAGGGTTTCCCGAAACAACTTATAGCGTAGATCGCTGATGTATCGAATTGACCATATAAAAAATTCCTGTATGTCTAGGACAGATACACAATAGCATGCTAAAATTTGTAATAAGGGCATTACGCCCCGATCTTCAACATGTCCGAAGGGAAACGTGGCTCGTAGCTCCGTCCACGTGAGTTTTGGTTAGTTTCACCGCTAGCCCTTACTTTAGGAGTTACTCGGTTCGGTTTCTTGTAGGTCGAAGTTATCCCAAGAGTCAAACTGGAGAATTTAATTGTTTAGAACTACAAACTCCATGCTGTTAGTGATGGCCTTTTAAAACTATTTTAACTTAATTGGTAAATGTAAAAAAAAACATTTTTTAACTAAATTTTACCATTTTGAGCATAACAAAGAAAAAAATATATTTTAATAAAATTAGCAAAAACTGAAAAGAGTGTGACAATGGTATTTTATTTTATCATGGAGTAGTGAAAGTTCCAATTTAATAAATTTAAGACGCTAGTTTTATAGGTATAATACATTTTCTCTAAAGCAAAATTAGTAAGCAGTCAAGTAGTAAGGTATTTAGTCCCATTTTCCATATATTTGAGGATTTTCCGTGAAACCAAAGATGACACAAACAAAATTTCGCTACCCAATACCGTTTTTAAGATACGGGGCGTTTTTGAAAGAAATCCAAAAAGTTGCCTTCTGATAACCTAAAACTAACTGTTCCTTATATCACTTTTTATAGAAAATTCAGTAAAACTTTTTTTGGGCTCTATATCATTTTTGTGTGTTTGAGAAAATATGGAATTGCATACAGTTATTTTAGAAAACAAACCCTGGATTTCAACAATTTACTTTGTTTTAAAATTTATAAATAACACAAAATCAAAAGCCATTCTCTCCAATTGGAATATTTTTATAACTCATTTATCTGATTTCCGTTAAGAGTTTGGAATGTTAAATCGCCTTACGAAGTTCTGCTAATTGTTTACAAAATTATCCTTACATCCTAACGATGAACTTAAAAATTATTTACTTTCAAAAAAAAAAATAATTCTATACGTTATTTTTAAAAATATTAAGTTAAGCTGACTCCGTATACTTATTCTGATATACCAAAAACCGCGCCTCTCTAACATTAAAGATAAGTGACACAGAGCAAAAGGTGTAGGGCATTTTTTTAAATTGCAACGATGTGAATTATTTTTAAAATTTACAGATAAACGGTAATTGAAATAAAAAGGACCGACAACAACTTAACGAATTTAAGCTTTCGACGATGGTCTGCTCTTCGCACGGGAAAAGAAAAAAATTAAATTCAATGCGGCCGAAACAATGCGGCTTTTGCATCACGACATAAAACGAAAGTTCCTGGTTTCCCTTTAATAAGTTAAAGCGAATACCGTGTTTGGAAATTTTCTAGAATAGCGCAGCTATTGTTTCCGGGCTAAAATGGTCATGCGGTTCCGCTTTGTGTTATGTGAATACAGAGATTATCTTCAATAATGCTTTTGGTATTTGATTTTTTTGTTTTGTGATCATTTGAGCTGCAAGGGAACAATCGAATTCGTAGCCAATCTGATAAAGGTTTGGTGTAATAATCTAAGTCAGTTTAATTGAATATTTCCGTTGTTCGATTCTGCAAATGCAAAAATTTGTGAAAAGAATCAGTAAAAATTTAAGGTTTTCTTCTTTCTAAATGAACTAAAATTTCGTTTTTATATTCCTCACCCTAAAATACTCAGGCACATCGATCAGGCTTGCGCAAACACTTCATTAAACATTGTCGTGAGTCAATTTGAGCGCTTCCAGTACTTTAGTCATGAGTTGAGAGCAAAAACAGTTCGAATACATATTCACTTACAACGTGTGACTAAAGTAGGATTTTTTTTATAGCGTAGTACAAAATATTCTATATATTTGACTGCATAACACAGATTTTTGCGATAGCGAATTTGTGATTTTGGTAGCATTTACATTACGTTATCTCATACCTTTAAACTTATCAAAAAAGTTGAAAAAAAAATTGTGAAGACTACTCTTGCGTACTGGTCAACTTCAATGTCATTGAAGATTGGCTTAAAGCAAGTCTTTTAAAGAGACGTTATTAATTTAATTAAGCAGCTAAAAATATATCTGTTAAAGAAATCGAAAACAGCAACGTAAGTTCAAAATTCATATATTTCTTCATTTAATTCATTCAAAATAAGTTTTCAATATTTTAACTATCTGCGGCCCAAATTAGAGATTAAAGTTGACAAAAATTAGGATCTCAAACTTGCAGATTTTTAAGAAACGGGGCGTTAAAAATCTAGTTACGGCTTTGATTAACAGTTTCGAAGGCAATTAAATAGAATTTGGTAAAATTTTTTGGTTCTTAATTTTTATTAATTTTGACATGTAGATATTGTATACATGTCACTAAAACTTGAAAATGATCTATTTCATATAATAGGGTGGCGGTTGCTTGGACCTATATTCTCTTAAAGTATTGGTTAATGACAAATTTTTTTAAAATTATTGAAATAATGTTGAAAACATCAACTAATTAATATTAATCGTACAGTAAATTTATTGCTGTTAATAATCTGACAGCATCGGGTGCGACGTACCAAAACAAAGCAAAGAATAACAAAAACCGAGAAAAAATATTACGGAAATCTATATCCCAGATTTCAACGAAAATATTGAGCAACCTTATTCTATCCACGTAAAATTCTCAAATAATCGGCTAACGGTTCAAGATAATTCTAAGAGCAGCTCCAGAACAAAGCCACCGTTATTACTGGATTGCTTTCCAGCTTGCCAAACTGGAAAATTTCTTGATAATGCTAATCTGTATTTAGGGCAGAACTAGATATTTTAGGCGAAATGATAAATTACGATTCGCTTCGCGTTCGAAAGCTCCAGTGGCGTTCTAAATTTATTTTTATAATATTTAATAGAGCAGGTTGCTTAATATGTAAAATTTACCGTGTAAACTATTACAAATGTGTCTTAAGATATAACATACCATAATAGGTTTTTAATTATCTTTAATGAAAATGGTGGATTTATTAATTAATAAAAAATCATAAATAAAGAGTGTATAAATAGATTGCTGGGGAACACCTTTGAATCGATCAGATAAAGCGAGAAATAATGATACTGTTTTTGAAGACGATGTTGATGACATTTGGCAGGAAGTAAAATCTAAAGTCAAACGAAACATCGAAATGGTAAAAGACAGCCTGAATTTTTATGAATTAACTATCAATGTTAACATATGTTATGTATATCATTTTTTCTTAATGACGTCAATAGGTCAGACATTAAGTTTTTATAGTTACCCAGAATAGGACTTAAAATTAACGAACTAAATAACATATTTAATGTAGGTGTCACAGTCTGCAAAAATTTAAAATCATGTTAATGACCTGGTTGTAAAGGCGAGATAAATTTCATGAAAACTGCTGGAAGGAGGTAGACGAAATTAAGGTGTTGAAAACCGTTTTGAATTATTATAAAAGTGTGAAAAGTTTAAGTAACCTTGTAAAGTCTATATACATTTTTGTAAACATCTATATAGATGCAAAAATGTATAAAGAATTTTATGATTAGATTAGAGGTAACCATAATAACAAAATAGTTAAAGGGCTAAAAGCAACGGAATTCCATTGCGTATGGAGCAGTGAACCTTGTTTAAGATCGTCTATGTTTGATATTAAATTTTAGCGAAATAGATATTAAATTTCTGTTCTCAAACAGGAATCTCGTAACGAACCTCTCGCCTACAGCAGGAGATCAAATAATGTTAGAAATGCCTCTAAAGCGCCACTCGAAATCCGACACTTTTAACTAGAATTTTGGTAAATAATAATAACTAAAATATGCAATAATCAAGCTGGGAATACTTTTAAAATACGTGCCATTTTTTACAATCCAAATTTCTAGTTTTAATTGATTGATTGTTGTTAACTTGGATTGCAGGTAAAGTGAGATATGATTTTCTGACCGGCTTCCTATTAAATGCATTCAACTTAGTTGAATTCTATAATCCAACAACATGAATATGTAACGTAACCCGATTTAAAAATGTCGGTGAAAATCTACCCCAAGAAGGTCTGGTCAGAACTTGTTTTCAGTGTTTTTCAGTGTTTATTGTAAAATCCAATTGAAATTACTCCATTCATTTTTAAAGACGATAAAAACGATAATTTGGTGGATAATTTATTAAACCATTCTTAAAATACTATTACTAAAATATATGCAAAAAAACTGAAACAAAATTTTCCATAGCAAACAAGCGATATTTTAAAAATGCATATTTTTGAAAAACAGGATGCGATATCCAAGTGCAATTTTTACTATTATGTTTTTTTATGAAAAGGAGATCAGTTTTCGTCGATTTCTATTAGAAAATTGGTTTCCCCCCTCAATTCAGGCCAAGCTGTACATCACTCAAATATTTATCAATAATTTTTTTATGTGTCTATTATAAAATAATCAATGTTTTGTGAAAACTTAAACAAAAAATAATATAAATTTGCATTACTAAACATTCCAACATTAAGAAATGTCTCGAAAATGGGGGCAATGAATAGTAATGAATTTTATTTGAGGAAACATTAGAAAGTTGCGTTTAGCCATTGTGAGATTTGAGATTTAGCTACAAAAAAAATTTGGGGAATAAACGACGAAGTTGCGATTTAATTTCAAATGCGTAAATTAATCATTATTCAGTATATTTTTTTTTCTATGAATTCTTCCGACGAACATATAAAACGAATACCCAACGGAAAACTAAATCTCGGTTCTAATTCGTATACCCTTACAGTGTATTTCCAATTTCCATCCATCCTCTAGTCCTTCGGAAGTCATCATTTTGTTTTCCGCTCTGCACGACAGGTATTTCCCGTCATCCTCCTTCTTGGGTAAAAATGATAGAGTGCTCGTTGTAGTATTGCCGTCGTTGGAGGTCTGAAATATAAAGCGTGGAGTGAGAAGGGCATACAATTTTCGATAGATGAGTCGATTTCCGAAAATCGTATTTGAAAAATATATAAATATCAAGCGGTAAAATCCATTCAGTAGTAGAAATCATCAATTTTATTTTGACATATTTATTGCGTTTGACGTATTGAATTCTTTTTAAAACTATTCTTTCCTATTTTTTCAACGTCACTCTAGTAACACAATTTAAAGAGATTGATTCGACATTTAAACAAATATGCTTGTGAGAAAATTTGTTCACCGATTGGTGACCAAATTTCGTTTCAGTTCAAAATACAGTATATTGCATAAGAATAGTAGTAACTTTAGAATATATATAGAAAACTGAAAACAAAAAAGGTAACATTTCTCGTAATAAAGTGTATAACGGTGATTTTTATATGATAACAACATTTTTACAAATAGAATAGTTGTTTTGGAAATAGAACCTTTGAAGTAGAGTCACATGGAACTTGACGTTTTCTTCAAATGCTGTGAAGCAGGATAAATTATTCGTTTGAATTTTTTACCTGAAAAATTGGGCTTCGGCATTTCTTCAACTGACCAAATTGTTGAAATATTGTGGAAATTTACTCGTATGTCTTTGCAATTCATTGTAGATATTTCTCAATGGATGTTTGTAAATTAAAACGTCTATGCGAACTCGTCTAGTTGTGATTCGAAGCGATTTAAAATTTGTGGGGGTAGTCCACTCAACCGTATAAATAGTATAGACTTCTATTTACTAAAGTCGATCGGCGCGCCGGATCTTACAAGCCACTGAACTTGACTAAAACTCCGCTGATTTAAGCTGATCGAACTCTACATGATGAAATTGACTTCACCGGAATATTTTAATACTTCCGTACATATTGCGAAATGAATATTAGAAATAAAGTATCGCTCTTTAGCAAATTTCAATTTCGCTGTGTTCACCTATATTAGTGAAGTTATTTTACTCGGAAATACTAATGACCGTATCAATCAGTTACACTTTTGTTAGGTTTAACAAGAAACACCGACACAAACGAATAAGCAAACAAATAATACATGGCGATACTGTATATTTTACTAATTTCCCATTTCTTGGCAGCTTTGAGATTTCGAGCAGCACTATAATATTTTTCAACAAATTATTATGATTTTCCATAAAATTCAGATTCTTCCTGAAACTGTTGAATTTAGATATAAGATACATATGGCACAAAATAATAAATATTTTTATTGTCCTGGACCTAGAGTAAGTACAGAGTGGACGTTTTATTTTAAACAATCGATGTTTTGCTGTTTAAAATGTAACGTAGATTTCGTTTTTGGAGAATCACCGGAAATATTTTAATAACTGCAATTCCAGTTGCCATCTTTTAGTTGCAAGTTTCTTCTGTGAATACTTTTATAAAAATACAAATATCTTTTATTTTTATTTTTGTTATTAGTGTTTTTTACTAATTTGGACTTTGAAACCACATTTAAAAATCTTAAATTAATGCCGCTATAGCAAATTCGGGAAATTCTGTGTACATATTTAAAAATATATTAACAAACTATGCAGCCTTAGAATTGAACTTTTTTCTCTATGTCTCCTAGATTTTTTCTGCAGATATTATAATTGGGAATATTTTTGTGCGGAACACGGTGTACAGTTGTATTTTTAATTGGTACCAACCAGATGGGTATAAAGATAGCAAGCAATATTGAAAATCAATAATAGCACTATTCCGGGGTATAATTAAAAAGAGAGCTTTGTAATAAAAAAATACTTTATCGGCTTTAAATTTTGGTAATATTACATATTTTTTGAACTCTCTGATGATACATGGACATGTATATTAAATTTTATGAATGCATTAATTTTCTAGAAATATATGAATCAGTTTTTCATCTAAACATGTGTTTTCATTAAAAGCTAGAATTTTTTTTACTGCGGAAATTGCAATTCAAACGAGTTTAAAAAAAACATTTTGAGTAAAAAAACGTTTTGCTTTTGGAACGCTTTCCGATAAATCTCAAATCATGTCAAAATATTAATATTAATAGAAGGGAGGCTTTACCATTAAATCGTATACCGAATATAGAAGCAGAAAATACTCTATGCATATAAATGAGTCTTTGCTTTTACATTCCATTATTTGGCAGAAAGGAGGAAAGACGAGTTGGAATACTTTTTATTTTCATTGCGAAAACTCTACGGCGAAGTTTCCTCATAAAATATTCCAATTACGTTACAAATGCCACAGTTTAAATAAGTAACATTGTTTTTGTGGTGTTGGCATTTTCCAAAACAGGCACCTAAGTAGTCTTTATAATTTACGATTGTTTAAATGAAAACTTCGGAGAGGAAAATTCAAAATCAAGAAAAAATTCTCTTGTTAATTTGAACTTTTAATGATTACTTATAATTTTGTGCTTATATTTTATATGAGACTGATAACTTTTTGATCTGAACATGTTCTCGGGGCGACACTGAATTCTGCGCAAAACAGTTAGATATAACATATAACATATATAACAGTCATCAGTCTTTCGGCAATTTATCAAATAGAAAATATGCGGATGGTACCCTAAAATGCAACGTTTCCAAAAAAATCATGTTGTATCCCAAAATTGGAAAGGAATAGGAAATTTTCGTTTGTGTCATCTTAAGTTTCATATTATAGCGAAAACGAATCTCTCTTTACTTTCTCTATTTTACTCCCTTTACATGCAAGTAGAATGCCACCATAAGTTTTGAAAACGTAATTAGTACTGGGGCACACTTCTTTGTAGCATCCTCGAAGACCACTGTGTACTTTGAAATTTACAACTAACAAATAACGATTTCTTCAATGCTTTTCTTATCTCACTTTAATTCAGAAAGAAATAAGTAATTGGTAATTTTCATATTAGCAGTATACCAACTGACTGCCTATCTTTTTTTCTGTCTATAATAGCTTTATTTTATCACGTTATGTTTCTAATTCTCACTATAGGGTTATCTTTCATACCAACATCGAAACGATTAAAACCAAAAAATGCATATTTACGCTGTTAAAGTCTTGATTTGATCGGTTTTGTCCAGCCGATGTTTGTAGTTTTCGCTTCAACAAGTATTTTCTCTTTTGCTTCATCCCTTCTTACCTTATATTTTGCCTCCGATTAGAAGATGTAAGAAATCGTATTTATTGTCCCGAAACACGATCTAGGTGGGAATTTGTATATCGTTTTCTTAACAATTCTTGATAGTTTGATAACTTTAGTAATTCCACTTCTGAATTTGTGGGTCTATTAGTTTGCATTCGCGGCATAGGTCTATTAAGACACATTTCAAAAGCTAACTTCTGCGTTGTTGTTAGGTACTTTTAGCGACCATTCGACCTCAATATAAAGCAATTTAGAGAGTACATCACATTCTCCTCATAATTTATGGACTTTTATCATTCATTGTATATCCTAAATATTTGTGCTAAGAAATTGTCGAACTTCTATTGTCTTTATTTTGTTTTCAATTACACAACTTTTCGGGCAGTTGTATCAGAACCCGTTAACAAGTATAGATAGAAGACAATAGAAGTTCCGCCAGGTAAATTCGAGTCCCTTTTGTAAAAAACATTTTGCAAACAATTTTCTAAAAATTATCAGACTTAAACAACTTGGGGTCGTAGAATTTTTTTTGTGCTATCAACGTTTTTGTAACTGTAACGTGATTTAATGTCATTGACAAATAAGTGTTAATTCATATAAAAACTACGGAACTATTTAACTTTCTTATTCAACAACAGATAGCCAAGTGAGGAGGCCTAGTACGCCAGTAAAAACGGTCTTTCTGTATCTCTTTCAAAGTCTAAAATACGAGAAATATAAGTTGGAATTTGGAAAACCAGACTTCGCGATATATATTCCATATACTCGTCGTTATTATATACTAATTGTATTTTCGTTTTTGGTTCGTAAGAACCGAAGTTATTGATGTTAAACGCGCGACAAGGTCTTTGGTATCAGCTGCCAGTCAACGAATGTTTGCATACAGCTTTTCAAAAAGAGGGAGCATGTAGACATTTTTGAGTCATTTACTTTAACTTGTTAATGTCAAATTAGAAATTTATTAAATTAGAGTACTTAAATTGTAATACCATTTTTGTGTGTTTCTAATGAGCTATTGTCTTGATATCGTATATATCGTATTGGAACGTGAAATGTATTGAAACATTGTATAGTTTAATGCGGTCTTTACAAAGGAAAGTTGAATGTATTAACGAATAAATAATCCAAATTAATGAATAATTAGCTCTCTGAGTTAACGAGATACTTTGATATATACCATTGGGAGTGATCGTAAAAATAAATAATATTTCTTTTTATATAATAGTTTTGATAGCGAGCGAGGTGACATAGGGTTAGACTTCTAGATTAAAACAGTGCACAACACGGTGCTTAAAACAAAATTTAATCACTTAATTGATTATGAAAGGGAATCCAACGATCCGCGATCCGCTAGATTAACTACAAAATAGCCAATGAAACATAAACTATCGGAGCTACTCAAAATCGGACCTGAGCAGTGCTTCTATGAAGCCACACTATTCTCGCCGGGTAGCGTTCCGTTCACTTCGGAAAAATACCACACTTCCCATGGATTCACAGTATTAAGAATGATAGAACCATAACTGTCCAGACCAGACCGATAAACAATGCGAGTCAAAAATAAACAATCCAAACACCCAAAACGAATTATAATAAAGTATCGACCACTCAAAGCTAAGGGCGCCGACAATTTTAAATTACATTTAATATTTTTAAAAATCTTGTTTAATGTTAACTCGGTAAAAATAAAAGGGCTTGTTGGGTCCTGTATATCGTTATTGACATATACGAAGACATCTATGAATCGATTTAAAGTGATTGTATGTGGTTTCACTTAAGTAGTTAGTGGTCGACAACGAACTCGATCTACAGGTTCGTGCAGTCGAAACGTTGACAGTACCCAAAGCCCCGAATAAAGACGAACTAAAAGCCCTTTCAAGTAACGATGACCGCGAAAGCCTAACGCACTTTACAAAAGCTATTACTGGGCTCATAACGTTTCCGCCATAGCGGTTATTTACGCCTTGGACGGCACGTTGTAACATGAAATTAAATTAACCGAAGTAATAAATCTTAGGTGCAGAAAACCCGTCACAGGATCGTAATAAATCATTCGAATGACTGTTTATAAATTCCTTCGAAGGAAACAACATTGACATGGTAAAAAATTAGGGCGAAATCGCGTTTGGTCAGTTGAACACTACTGAGCATTTGGAAAAAGACAAGTATCTGTAGATAAATTACAAAAAGATAACAATAACGGAACCAAAAGGTGATGGGAAACTCGAATTATTTTTTTAAAAATCCCAGTCACACAACTTGATGTCGGTCCTTTCATTAGCAATTACCTTCAAATTTTTCTCGAAAACGGTTAATTTTAAAGTTTTTAACAAATCCTGTGTTTAAGCAGAATAGGTGGCAAAAAGGTATTTGAAGGAGACATGGGAAAAGATTTTTGGAATATTTCAAATTTTGTGATTAGTATTAGATTAGTATATTCAAGAAAACATATTTTCTTTCCTTTCATGCCTAATACTAAATCTAAATTTATTTATTTATTTATTTGATCTTTGGGATATAATTAGGATAAATTCACAACAGAATCGCAAGAATAAGCAGAATAACAATTACTGTATTACATTACAAATACATAATAATCTGATATAATCTAATGCAAAATAATTAAATAAAAATAATTTCAACTCAAAAAGTGCATTAAAAATCGCAGCCATAGCCAATCATATAAATAGAGAACACGAATAAACAGTAGAAATTCTAATAAAAAAAAATAAGTAAAATGGAAACTAGAAAGGTTACAAATTAAGCGGTTAGTTCCAATCCAAAAGTTTAACGGTTCTTTTAGAGTTCACCTTTTTCTCAATTCTGTTCTTGTAAACGTTATACCTAGGGCTTCAAATGACAAAACCAACATTTAGTCTACTGTGTACATACGCACATTACAGGTAAGTACGAGCGCTGTTGAAAACTTTTACATGGCTATTAATATATTAGATTCTCGTCGAAAATCACTCCGAGATCCCTCACTTCACTTCTGTGAGGGACCTCTGCTTCAGAGTACTGTTATTGATATAGTAGGAATATTTTTCGACTTTTATAAAAAGACCATTATTTTCCAAGTAAGATCATATCGCTGAGTATCCTCCTGCAACTTAACGCAGCCTAAAAGGGAATTAATTTGTATAAAAAAAATTTTGGTCATCAGCATACGTCGAAAGCGCTGAAAGGGCACCAAAAATAAAATATAGGTTTTAGTTTAATTAGGCAAATTTAAAATCAGAATTTCAGAAAAATTTAGGATATAAATTACATTGCGAAACAAAACATTAGATATACAGGACCATTCATAAAAAGTGAACACTTTCTATAGTAGACACCAAAATATGAAGTTTCAACATTTGGTTTGAAGTTTTTTTCAAAATTATTCCTAAATTGTTGTACTATTTACAAAATAATATATAGATTCTTCCTGCGTCGGTTGTTGATGAACTGAACTTGCTGCTCCAAAGCTTAACTGATTTGTAATTAATATTAAAGTAGCCTCTCTCTCTCCCCCCCCCCCCCCCCTCTCACTCACACTCTCTCTCTCTCTCAGATAAACTCCGCTGAAATATTGAATTTTCGCGTGACAAGTACATTTTCGCTAGAAATCACGTTACAAAGGAAATTACAATTACAACAATAAGACGTATAAAATTGTTGAGAGTTATTCGTTTTCCAGAGCTCTGCTTCAGGATATAGTCTTTCGCTGAAAAGTTTTTATTAAGAAACATCTTGCTTTATTCATATTTCTACGTTCCGGGAAAGTTTCGCATTTAAGCAGTATAATCAAGTGACTGGAAACCAAAAATCTCACGGCACATTTTAACCACTGCGAAATTAAGCCCAACTAGTAACAAAATTTCTTGCGCGGTGCCTCGACTATAGAACAGGATATATGAGAAACCAACTAACCAATGTTATATCGAGGCTTATTTGTATAAGGTTAGAAGGAATGTTTTCCATAAAAAGATGTAGCATGCGTAATGTGAATTCAATTTTTGAAAATATAATAGCACACGGAATTGCGATTGTCCTATTTCGGTTGTGTTGGTTATTTATTCCTCCAAAATAAAGGTTACTCATAACTGATTATAGATTAGTTAATTAAACTGCACTGCAGTGCAAAAACAAACATTTTAATTTTGTTAGGGACTGGAATAATAACTTTTTTATTTTGTTTATTTAACTGCTGTAATAAAATGTAGACACAAAAATTTATTGGATTTTTAAGAAGATTGCTTTCGAAAATTCGTCACTAGGCTGAGCAAGTTTTTTATTATAAAAGGAAAGAATTTCGCGGTTTCGTGTGGACCACTATGGAACTTTGGCAAAATCGATGTAATTTAATTGTGCATGCACCCTGTATATAATGTCCTTCAGATCTCATCGAACTTCAAAGTTACAGCAAAAATCGGTAAACATTAAAATTTGCACAAATAATACCGGTGTCGAATGATATTTTTTCAAATATCTCGCGCCCTGCATAATTGACGAAAACTGAAACTTTCTCACGACACCGTTTACGGTACTGTTCAAATAAAATTATCCCATCTTTAACGGTTTTTCATTTATCGTTAATAATTTAGCCACAAAAACGGAAATTTTTAGGATATTTTAGATTTTTTGCCCATAAACGACACACCCTGTATATGATACAATCATTTTTCAAATCGAGGTTATAGCCGTCGATTTTTCACGCTACCTGGTTCAAATAACGATTCCAATATGGATTTTTTCAAATATCCCGAGCAGCGTAGGTGATAGACGAAAACCGCAAATGCAAAAATTGTGGCTCTTGATGCGGCCTATGACACCGTTTGAACCAATTAGCCATATTTTTTACGATTTTTGATGTGCGGCTAATAATTTACTCTGTAAAAGAACAATTTTCTAGGTCTTTCAGATTTTTGCCAATAATTTGAAAACCCTATATGTGACTGAAAAAATGCACGAACCAAATGTTATTGCACTCGACCTTCTGCGTCTACCGGTTAAAGAATTTTGCCAATCGGATGAACGATTATGGATGAAAACATTTTTCTGGAAGCTAAAATTACCAAAAAAAAAAATTTCAAACATTTAAAAAAAATACTTGGTAAAATTTGCCCAATTTCTAGCGTTTAAATATGGACACGGACTTTTATTTCTCTGCTAAATTTGGAGTTGATATCTGCAAATTTAGGACACTTATCGCATTTCTTATTTAGCACAGAATAACGGGAACACACTGTACAATAGGTGAAAACCTTAAATACAAAAGATTTTGGTGTTTATGCGGGCTATATCGCAATATAAAACAAAGTGAGATCTGAATCGTAGTCTTTCAGTTATAACCAATTTTCAATAATAGGGGGACCCATTTTTCAGTTTTTTTTTAATTTGCGGCGTACTCTGCATATTTTTGTCAATTGTCAATAATAAAAGTTTATAGGGCCGTATTTTCTGCTTTTTCTGGTTCAAGAATTTTTTTGGTCTCGTAAACAGTTTTTGAAAAATGAAGTTTTATGTAGACCCTTGCACGTGCGATTTTTAATTTTTTTAGAATACTTATACGACCCCCCCCCCCACAATTGTCAATAGCTTCCGTCACGGGGCAAAGCTTCACATATGTGCCAAATATGAAGTTGATTACTTCAAAATCGTGTTTCAAAGCAAGGTCCAAAAAACAGTCGAAAATCGTGAAAAAAGTTGGAAACCGGCGTCGAATAAGGGCCATTTCTTATAAGCTTATGTGCCTCGTGGAGCTCCAACGGTTCGAAAGTTACTGAAGAAAAACTAAAGGACGAGAACGGAGAAATGACAGACAAAAAAATTTTTTTTCGACGGTCATAATTTCTGTACCAACGGCGATCCAATAGGACCTACCGTTACCGATATACAAAATTTTTACACGAGCGCATATACTTTCGAAAAATTTGATTTCATTGATTTTCGAAAGTAACACAGGAAGGAGCGTAATCTGGTGCGAGTAATACTACCTCGGTGAAATAATATTTTGAAATTTTGAACTTGAAGTTAATGAGAGATTCTTTATGTGAAATTATTGGAACTTTTATTACGAATACAAAATATTTCAAAATTCCGTTACTTTGATTTTTTTTCTCCTGTCTATTTTTGATAAGAAAACATTCTTAGTTATAAAAATTTTGACCTACTTTGATAAAATTCTAAACCGAGAATATAAAATCTCAACTTGGTTTCGTTGTTTTTTACTTAGTAAAAATATCTAGCAGATTGCGAAAATGTATTAATGTCACAGTTTTTTAAATATCGTGTCTTGAAATAGATAATTTATACGTGTAAAGACTTAGAAATTGTTAAAAATTAATAATGTTTTATTATTATTAATAATATCTCTAAGTTTACTACAACTGCTACTACAAAAATTAAACAAAAATTATTCTAAGTAGCCGAAATAAGTTTTTTGAATATGAGCCGATATCGAGTAATGGTTAGTTGGTTAATTTTCAGGAAAACACAGACGAAGTATACATACCAAGTTTCAACAAAATATGTGAAAAAGTTCGAAATTTATTAATGAAAATATTATTCTTTAAATAAATAAGTACAGAACAATTATACAAACCAAGTTTCAACATCTATGAAGCTGCAAGCTTTATAACGATAATAATTTTCGCTATATAAAATAGTGCCACGGTCTCTAGAAATCGGACGTTAAAATAAAAGATAACCTAATAAAAGTCCCAATATTTTCACACAAATTATCTGTAATTAACGGGCTGACCTATCTTTTCGAATTAGATATATACGAACCAGTTTGACACCTGGTTAAATAAAGTGTCAGTGTCAGATCACCTAGGTCAGAAATTCCGTCAATTTCCTCCATATTATGAACCTCGAGAGGACTAATTTGAGAAAAAACTTCCAAAGCGTGGGTCATGAGACACTTATGCAAAACTAGCATTTCGAAAGAAGTATTTTTTGTCGGCGTCCATGCAGGAGCCGGATTCTCGCAGGCTGGATTAGTAAATGACAATGGAAATATCAAAAGATTGGTTTTGGAGCGGACGAAAATATTTGGAAAGGACCTGTTTCGTGAACAATCTTCCGATGAAATTTGGAATTCCGTAGTGGAATGTGTAAAGGTAAATTACCACTTGATTTTTGTTTTTTAATTGTCCGCTGGTTTGTTTATAATTGAATGATTGAAATCTTTCTATTATGTTTAAAAAAATGATAAAAATCTTGAATCACAAAAAAAAAACAGAGGAATTCTTTTAACCCCAATGTTGTATTTATGGTTTTCTTAATTATAGTAATTATATAATTATCGTAATTAATTATAAATTTGACTTGATACGACGTAAGGAAGCCTCAAATTCAGAAGCATTGGTCTGTCAGAAGATTCTGATGAGGATGGTTTTTTAAGTATTTCAAGCGTTGCACTCTAGTTGCTAATTGTTTATATATTTGTGGAGCAATGCTACAACTTAAAAATATTTTTAGAAAAATAGGTGAAATATTTGTTAGAAAGTTTTCTCCATACAATTTTTGGTAATTTTTTCCTGTTGCCTCTTTTCGTACAAGATCAGCAGGTACAAATTTCATTTTTTGAAATATAAAAAGCATTTGTACTACTCCCGTCTGTAAAATACCTAATTACACACCGATCTAGTGTGCGTGAAGCGTCACTTTACCACGTCAGTTTCGTTTCCCACGAATCCGAGCCACTTCGGACATTTCCGGAATTTTACCGCATGGATTTGGGAGCAATCGGATGTTTTCGGAGATATTTCCCACGCTTTGAATTTTGATGTTTGTCAATTCTGACGGTCATGTCAGTTAATGTATTTGTGTTGTTTTGCGAAAATGTACCCAAAAACTAAAGGTGATAGAATATAATATATTATGCAACAAGTGCGGTAAACGGCTCTTGACTCACGAGTTTATTTGACACGAGCGGAGGACACGAGTGAGTTAAAAAGTTTACCGCACTTGTTGCATAATATATTATATTCTACCACCTTTAGTTTTTGGGTACATTTTCACAAAACAACACGAATACATTCACTGACATGACCGTCAGAATTGACAAACGTCAAAATTGAAAGCGTGGGAAATACCTCCGAAAACATCCGATTCCTCCCAAATCTGTGTGGTAAAATCCTGGAAATGTCCGAAGTGGCTCGGATTCATGGGAAACGAAACTGACGTGGTAAAGTGATTCTTCCGCTACAGCATGAAACACGTTCGGTAAACTTTTTGACTTACTCGTTTATTAAAAACTCGCTCCGCTCGTGTCAAATAAACTCGTGAGTCAAATGCCGTTTACCGCAATTGTTGCAGAATATATTATTTTAGGTTTGGTCAGTGCCTGAAAATCAAGGATTTAATTGTATTTCGAATGAGAAAAATGTGAATTAAATCTCAACTTTCAAACTTTTTTTAGATTAAATTTAATTATCTAATCTAACAAAGAAACACGTTTCTTGAATTTTTTAGGAATTTCTTATTTTGAATTGTGGATAACATTTGGTTTTAAGGGTATAAGTTAATTTTTTTTATTTACAAGATGTGAGAATGAAAGAGTTTGTGGTGGTGGTGATGACCCACTATTATTTTCAGAAAGTGGTCGATGGGGTGGAAATAAAGAAAATAAAAGGAATTGGTTTCACTGCTATATCATCGATGGTATGTCTCGATACCCAAGGAAGTCCTCTCACTGTTAGCATTTTAGGTAAGTCAGGAATGATATTTAGTGTTTTGTTTTCTATAATGTTGCCGCATAGTAAGTTTTTAAGTTAAAATTATGAATTTATTGTCAGGTGTATTTGAACTTTGATTTCTAAAAATCGCACATACAATTTCTTTTTTTTTTCTATTAATTGTTTGTTAATCAATTTTGATACACATTTTACAGTATATCAGGTAACATTCCAATCATTCGTAATTTTTAGTACAACATTCACTGGTATATTGTATATATTTTGAAATATCGTACACATATTTATGTTTATTATAGGAAAACCTGAGAGAAATTGCATACTTTACTACGATGACAGATCCCGAAAGGAGGCTGAAATAATTAATAGCAAACGACATTCAGTCTTGCGTTCCTATGGAGGAAGGGTAACATCCGATTTACATGAATCGAAGCTTATGTGGCTAAAAAGTCATCTAAAAGAAAAGTGTTGGGACCAAATAGGGCTGATTTTCGATCTTCCTGATTTTTTGACATGGAAAGCTGCGAAGTCGGATTTAAGGTTATATGTAATTTTTCTATAGAAATACTCGGGTACATAATTGTGCTTAAAATATTGAAAAAAAATAGTTGACGTTTTAGATCAAAATGTGTCGCACAAACGAACTGGTGTTACCAGTTCAATGAAAAATATCATGGTTGGGATAGATCATTCTTCGATGAACTGGATTTAGAAGAACTTGCAAAAAATGATTGGAAAGTAATTGGATCTAAATTTCAAGATCCGGGAGCTTCTGTGGCAGAAGGCCTGACCAAGGAAGCTGCAAGAGAAATGGGTCTTTTGGAGGGTACCCCGGTGGCTACATCAATGACTGATACACATGCTGCTTGTTTAAGATTGCTGGGTTGTCGAGCGGATGGAATCGATAAAGCATTTGATAGGAAATTTTGTAAGTAACCCAATTATGTACCTATAATTTAATCGTACTGGCTATCCCATTCTCGGCTATATCTCCAAGAAAAATATTTGCAAAGACGTCATTATAAATTGCTGAGAACTATTTGCAAGTTTCTAGAACGACTGCGAGATGATACTATTCTATGGCGAATAAGAAAATTGGAATTCTATAAAATTTGAAATTGATATTAGAAACAATACCACGCAATCTCCAGAAAATTTCGCTCACAACCATTTTATACCAGACAGTACTGTAAATGTTATAGTTTATAAGTTATAATAAAACTACCTGCCATAGTATGCAATTATAAAGGTAGTATCATGAAAAGCCAAGTTTTGACTGAAAACTTTAAATTTATTTCGGCTAATAACTTGCAACTGAAAGATATTTCCAAAATCAAAATACCTTTAAAATATAGGAAGATGTGGCACGCCAGGGTAGACGTTAACAGTATATGTAATTTTGGCAAAGAGTAAAGAGCTTATAAAGTTTTATAAAGCTTTTAAAGTCAGTGAAAACCGCATCTTGCCATTTTTTTGAACACTGCAACTATTTTTAAATATACTATTGACTATGAGTAGAAAATAGAGAAATTGTGAGAATGAAATCTTGGTAATGACAATAATAGCAAAAGAGTTTTCAAAATGTCCCATAATGATATCAATTGCTTCTTCAACCCCAGGAATTGTAAATCAATTAAATGTTACAAACCGCAGCTGGATTGATCAAAATAACACTTTTAATTTAAAAATGACATGTGACTTATTACATATTAATCTATACGGCATTTTGGTGTTCTGGTATTATTAACAATATTAGAGTAAATTCATTGTTTCGTTTCGTAAAATGTTCATAAACGGGAGCGGTATTGATATTATGTTGTATAAATAATTTAGTTAAGAGGTTATTTTTTCAAAATTTAAAAATTTAAAACGGAAACTGTTCCAAATTACTGGAAATCAAGCTTCATTACCCCTATCTTAAAATCCGGCGGTAACTCGCAAGTGAACAATTATAGGCCCATCAGTATACTGAGTTTCACTCCTGAAGTGTTCGAAAGTTTAGTTTGCGACTATTTATCTGCTGGCCTTAAAGGTTGCTTCATCGACCAAAAAGTTGGATTTCTCCCCCATCGCTCCACTGAGCTAAACTTGCTTACATTTACAGATTTTCCGCTGGAATCATTGGAGGAAGGGTCTCAGGTTCATGCCATTTACACAGACTTTTCAAAGGCATTTGATCTAGTAAATCATCAAATCTTAATAAAAAAATTGCGAAACATTAACATCGTTCCTTACTGAAAGAGTGCAGATTGTGCGCGTCCAGAGCTTCCAATCCATCGAAATTAAAGCCTTCCAGTGATCCGCAAGGATTACACCTGGGACCCCTGCTCTTCAATGTCTATGTGAATGATATTGCTTCATGTTTTCATCACGCATGTTTCTTATTATTTGCTGACGACTTAAAATTCTATATGAGAATCCATAATGCCGATGACTGTATTAAACTCCAGTCCGATTTAGATCACCTATCGCTCTGGAGCGATTTGAATGGAATGAAACTAAATATTAATAAATGCCAACAAATGAACTTCTACCGGAGCAGAAATCTCATACATTTTACGTATAACATAAAAGGGACACCATTATTGCAGCCCTCCGTAATAAGGGATCTTGGAGTGTTACTCGATATTAAATTGACTTACACACAACATGTTTCATTTATTGTGTCTAAATCACTTCAGATTTTGAGCTTTATTAAGCGTTGTACAGTGGACTTCCAAAGTGTTCCGTCTCTCAGATTACTGTTCTGCTCCCTCGTGCGTCCACACCTGGATTATTGTTCCTGTGTGTGGTCACCTTCGTATAACGTCCACACACAGGCCATAAAAAGAGTGCAGCATAGGTTCCTGGGGTATATAGCATTTAAGGAGCACCAAGGACTTGAAGACGTTGATTACTCTGAATTGGGAAACTCGCTCCAACTTACAAATCTTGAAATTCGTCGCATCTCACTATTTTTTATAATCTACTGCATTCAAATTCCCATGGACCTGAGCTGTTATGTAAGATTGGGCTTCGCGTTACACTCCCCCCCCCCCCCCCACCCGGCAGACCAGAATAAACCACCCCTCCCAGGTGGAGTTCCATCGTACTAACTATGGGCAGAGTTCTTTTCTTACTAGGTCAGCTGCACTAGCGAATCGTTTTTCTGACCAACTTGATTGCTTACAGAGTGCAAGAATATTTAAGAAAGATCTTAAAGGCTGTCGCTAAAACTATTCCGCTTTTCCTCGCAATAGTTTTGTATACCATTGTGTTGGTGCCTCGCTACTCTTACAAGTGTCCTTACTGTCGTGTCAACTAACTATACCAATATTTAATATTTTGGAAAACCAATGTCTGTCATATTAGGGTAAGGTCTGTCTATTTCATTATGTCTTAATTTTAATTTAATTTAATTTAATTTAATTTAATTTTATTTTGTTGTTTACTATTTTGTTTATGTGAATCCTATTTTATATTGGGCGGTTGGAACGTTGATAAATAAATAAATTATTAATATTTTTGCATATATTTTCTGTTAGAAAAATTTCATATTTCATAGTGTTGCATTTAAAATTTTGGGAAAAGCGCGCACTGCTTGTTAAGTTGTAAGACAGCATTTACCGTCAAATGCATCTTATTTTTGTATATAACATAGATTATAGATAAAATGTTAAAACGAAAAATGCAAACAAAAAACAAAAATTCAACTAATGCCAACAAAGACAGAGAAATAATTGAATTAAATGATATACCCCGTACCAGTTTTGCTATATTATTCGCCCTTGAGAATAATTCCTAATTTTTTATATGTTCCATCAACTGTAAAAGGACTGCAAGTCAAAAGTTACCAAGGCAAAAGATATGATCTGATATGAAGATATAATTAAGCTTTCAATATATGCAGAACGTTTAGTTCTCAAAGTAAACGAGGCATCTTCCCAATTGTCGTTGAATTATTGCAAAGTAAAACTTCTTTTGGAAAGTTAAAATTCATTAATCCAACGTTAAGGATCCCTCTTCACGAGGCACATCTTGTTGTCTTGCAGGCATGGTTTGCGGTACGTATGCGGCGTCCCATTTCGCTGTTTGCCATCAGCCGGTGTTCGTGGGGGGCGTTTGGGGTCCCCTCAAGGATTGCCTCGTTCCGGGGATGTGGCTGAGCCATGCGGGTCAGACTACCGCGGAGAGTCTGATTGAACACATCATTGACCACCACCCTGCCTCTGCGGAGATCAGGAAACAGTTGGGACAGATGTAAGATACAGAATAGGTTCATTTGGTTCGGAATTTGTATAAAAGGAAGACATGGGTTTATAAATTTTCGATATGCTCTTATGGGACACTCCGTTGTTATTGAAGATGGAAGGATCCGTTTTCATATGACCTACTTTTTTCAAAAATGGTATAATTAAATTTTGAATGGTACCTGTAGTTTCGGAGCTTCGCGGAAAAATTGAAAAATTGGCGTATCATATCTCCCTTAATATGAATGGTATTTCGATTTTCTAAATATTATTTGGTTTTTTAACAGAAATAAAATAGGCCATGTATAGTTTTGTTTCAAAACTTTGGTTTTTCATAATACGGACCTGATATTTTCCTTTACAATTTTGGTAATACAGCACTGTTATTATTTATAATATACAGCTTAACATTAACTTACTTTATTTTTATAATTCGGACTTAGGTGTCATAATTTAGGTTTTCAAATTGACTGCAGTAAACAAAATAAATAAGAACAAAAAGTTCAGATTTTCACGAAATTATACACTTTGACATGACAATTGTTTCGACAACACCGTGTCTTTATGAAATGTCTATTTGATAAAGACACGGTATTGTCAAAACAATTGTCATGTCAAAATATATAATTTTGTGAAAATCTGAACTTTTAGTTCTTACTTATTTTAATAAATGGATTTTCATCAAGTAAAAGCCTCCTCAGTTCAATGACTGCAGTAAGTTTAAGGCATTAAAACATAATTTTATTTTAAGGATATTAGAAAACATGAGGCCCGTATTACCAAAAATCTAAAATAATAAAATAAAATTTAAATTGAACCATTACACGAATCATCTAAAACGGATGAAATTTATGCAAACAAATGTTAGGTCTGTAATGACGGTCCTAAGAAAACAAAACTTTGAATTGAAATTTTTATTTCCTTTGAAAAGTATTTACAAAATCAAAATATCTTTCATATTAAGAAAGATTATGCAATTTTTTAACTCGCCAAATTTTCAAATTTTCCTTGAACCTCGGAAACCACAGGTGCTATTCATAATCTGAACATACCACTTACAAAGTAAAAATCAGAGATGAGTCTTGAATGATAACGTCTCACGAATATGCCAACAATCTTAGATGACACATTTTTGCTTATTAAACAATTAAACAACGGAAAAAGGCAAAATTTTGAATTTAGAGGTTTGCGATTTTTTTCTGTAAGTCGGGTCACCGGCACTGTTATTGTAATTGTAATTATTGTAATTATATTGTAATAACATTATAATTATATTAGCAAACTAGCTAATAAGCTCAATAAAAAAAAGACTTGTTTAAATTTTGGTTGAAGGAAAGGATTAACGGTCACATAAATAAGCAAGGTAACCAGCTTTTCTAGATTTGTCCAACTTTAAACAATCCGATTTGTGTTGTTGATTTTAGTTATTAATTATTTTAGGAATATACAGAAGTATTTAAACAAAATGCTGCGCTCTATGGCAAAGAAAAGAGGCTTGGCTTCCGTTACCTATTTAACCCAGAACATTCACGTTTATCCCGATTTTCGTGGAAACAGAAGTCCCCGAGGCGATCCAACATTAAGGGGAATGGTAAAAAATAGTATTTTGACTAAATAATGAATTTTCTGTTATATTATATTTTCTGCTATATAAATGTGATGTTTAAAGTGACATTTTAAATGACATGTAAAGATTTTAAGTAATGTTATTGAATGTCATTTTTGGAAGTAGCAGTTGAAACCTCAAATTCGCAGAAACAGCATACGTCACAAGTTTGAAGAATTTGGTGATTGGCGAAAATTCTTAATTTTATTATATAACTCATTATCATACGGACAAAATAATATTTGAGAATTTAACAATATCCCTCATGCTCGACCAACTGCAAAATATCGATCAGTGTTCAGTTCAAAGCTTTAATATAGCGTTTAGAAGACCCAAAATGACGTACTATATCAGATTCGGTTAGTTTCTTTCTTTTTTTTTTATTAGTTGAACTTTTTTAACTTAATTTCGTTTACATTTTTTTATTTTAACATGTTTAGTTGTTTCCCTGATAAGTTATACGACTCCAGTCATTTAGGTTGAAACTAGTTTTGGTTAGTTTGTTGTTAGTCTGACAAGCATTTTTATGATTTACATTTTTGTTGATTTTTCCTTTGTTTTTCTTTGTTTTGTACAAATAAAAAACTGCGTTCTCTTATTGCTAAATATTTGTGAGTTTACCTTAGTAAGTTTTTTTATATAGAGAAGGCGGTCTTTAACAATTTGCAATTTGTTACAATATGTTTTCTTATTTATATTTGGATATTTCAAAAGGGGACAGTCGAAGATGGTCAATTGATACTGCAAGCTCCCCTCACTATTTTCATTTTAGATATTTTATACATATTTATACAAGGTTTGCACTTGAATTGAACATGTAATATTTCGACCAGAAGGAGAAGAAGTTTCTGCTTTGACGTTTAAAATCAAACGGATTGCGTGAGCTTCCATTGGTAAATCAAACATTTCCACGAAATACAAGGGAGCAAAATATCAAATATTTGTACGCATACGTGTGTTTTAGGTATCGTTTCGCCAGCCGCATTTTAATTAAACTGGGCGTTTGCTCTCTATACGATCTATATATCAAATCCTTCTTTCAGTATTCCGGATTATCGCTAGGCAGTAATCAAGAAACTTTGGCTCTGCTCTATCTCGCCACAATGCAGTCCTTAGCGGTGAGTTTCATCTCTTTTAATTTCGTTTTTTTTCCGTTCTGGATTTTGAAGGCGGCGAGAGGGTTTTCGCCTTAAAGACGTGAAATTCCTTAAATACCCTTATTTTATCTTTTAAGATGGGATGTCGTTAATTACATTGTGTAAGGGACTTCTATCCTCGAATAAACGAGGAGTTTATATATAATATAACAGTTACCCCTAAGTAGCAACAATAATTCGTTTAACCTTCGGGCAAAAATTCACTACATTAAAGTAAAATGTAAAATTAATACAAATTTGTATTTTGCATTTGTACTTTTCTATTAAAAAAAATACACCTAAAGCCTTTTGTGATACTTAGCGAATTATGATAAAAACGGTCCATCTTCACAATGTGCATCTGGCGATATTAAGGAAAAGAGCAAAGGAAATAAAGTGACGGCTATATTTTTAAAATTAGAAAGCGAGTTCGGGAAAATTTCTTGCTCAACGACAACAAATAGTTGGAGGGCCCATCGTTACAATGACAGATAGATTAATATTCTGAAGTTTAGCAAATATATAACTATCGAATGCAACGTGCCGGCTAACAAAAATAGCAAATAAACCGTTATTTCAAAAGTTAAGACTGCAATGACCGGACTGAACTATAACGAGAAAGTCGTGATACTAAAATCAACAGAAAATGGCAGCAAGCAAAACTATCAAATATAACACAAAATCTTTAAAAGTCTAAAATTCTAAATTCGGGTCAACATTTCGTCAAATAGTTTTAATTTAGATTTATTTGGTATCAGTTAAAGAAGCTACCTTCTTTGGTGTCACTCGTCACTTTATTTGTTGCATCTTTTCGCTCCTTTTGATTAAAAACGTAGACGTCCATCCCCTCAAAAAATGCTGCCATAGGTTTAACACTAAATTTGAAAAATATTGGAAATTCGTCATGTATTTTTTTATTACGAGAACCATCAATGAGATAGTGATTAAATAACACTAATTGCTGAGGCAACTTTTTAGAGCAACACGTTATCCCGCCCTACCTTATTACAATCTTAGCTCAGCACACCGTATATTTCGGTAACAGAATACCTTCTTCTTAACTCACACGCTTTACACAGGGTAATTGGCACAGAATGGTACAGAACAGCATTCTGCCACAATATAATAAATATTTAGGTTAACCATTAATTTATCACAATTTGTTGTCACAGTGCAGCACGCGGCATATCATGAATGCAATGGTAGAAGGAGGCCATAATATACAACATTTAATTATTGGAGGAGGTCTAGGAAAAAATTCCATATACGCAGAGTTAAACAAAGATATATGTCAGATACCAACTGTTATACCAAAACCCGGCAGTTCTCGAGTGATAGGCGCAGCAATACTAGGTATATTTGTATTAGTTTTATACACATAGCTAATAGTTACCCTACTACCGTAAAAATTGATATTTTCGTTGAGAAGGTAAAGATTTTCGGTGTATATACATTTCCTCTACTAACCAGCACTTAGCAAGATTTTAAATTTCGCGCATGCACATGTTGAATGGACTTTCATATAATATATTTTTTCTGCTTTCGTCTGTAAAATACCTAATTACACACCGATCTAGCTTGCGGGAAGCGTCACTTTACCACGTGAGTTTCGTTTCCCAGGAATCCGAGCCACATTTCCGGGATTTTACCACACGGGTTTGGAAGCAATCGGATGTTTTCGGAGATATTTCCCACGCTTTGAATTTTGACATTTGCCAAATCTGGCGGTCATGTCAGTGAATACATTCTTGTTGTTTTGCGAAAATGTCCCCAAAAACTAACGGTCGTAGAAAAAGTATACTACGCAACACATCGGTAAACTTTTTAAGTCGCTCGTTTTTTAAACACTCGCTCCGCTGCGCTCCGATCGTGTCAAATAAACTCGTGAGTCAAATGCCGTTTACCGCACTTGTTGCATAATATACTCTATTAAATTTAAAAACCAACTTTGGACAAACTAACCTTTTAATGCATAATGGTTTATATTTAGCAATTGTGGGCAGTGTAAACTACAAAATATCACTGGTTTTTGCTTACTAGCATCTACGAACGGAATTAAATTTGCGTCATTGTCTAACTTAATTATTGTGATGGACTTTCACGTCACTTCAAAATTATTACCGGATTTTAATATCCGGTAAATGTTTTTAACCTGATTGTAGGTGCTATAGCTGCAAAGTACTTCAAAAGCTTTGAAGATGCAGTGAAGTCTATGGGGGGAGAAGGAATCACTGGCATTCCAGATAATTCTACTCAAGATTATTCCGAAAAAAAGTACGAAATATATCTAAGAATGTACGATCATCAACTGGAATATAAAGCAATAATGAATAGGTGGTGCAGATATATGCTGCAATAAAAAAAATAAATGTAGGAGTTCATAACATTGAATATTAAAGTCAGGGATAAAATAGTTTCGTATTTTTTTAACTATAAATAGAAGCGTTTTGGATTTAAACAACTGACTATCATGCACTGTCAAACATAAACTCCGTATATTAGTTAGTATCTTTTTGTATCTGAAAGAGCGTTTATGTTATAAGAAAAATCGACCCATCTAGAATTTTCATTAAAACTTTTAAAAAATCATTTTATTTTCATGTCCTGAACATGTAAGTCTAACTAGCGTTAGTTAGTTTTCCTATTCTAATTTGCACATAGTATGGCCTACATTAATCGACATCATATTTTTTAGCAATAATAGTGATGTAATGATATTGGTAAGTTTTTTTTACCAATTTTAACATATAAAGTGACGTTTCTGAAAATCTTTCGTTATCAATATCAACTAATATTTTATTATCAGTTTCGAATAATTCAACTTTGCGGTTAGAAAATCACTACATATGAATGAATCAATTCCTACATTATGGCGGTTGCTACAAAAGTATTTGTTTGCGGTATTTGCAATTATTTGAAAATTTTGAAGCGAAATGTGAAAACTAGGTGGTTTTACGCTCCAACGAATTTAACTTCATAGTTCAAGTGAATGGGATAAAAACAGGTTTTCCGCATAGAGAAATGAAATGAATATTATACTTACTGTATCCTTGGTTTTTTCGAGTCTCTGGCCATTCTTCCACCACGTAATAGTCGCGGGAGGTCTAGATCCCGAACTTTGACACAACAGGTCAAAATGTCTGCCCGCAGAAAGAGGCTGATTTGATCCCAAGATTTTTACGTCTAATGGCCCAACTGCAACAAGATTACTACATTTATTTCTTTCATTTGCGTTATCCTCCTTTTCTAAAATCTTTTAAAAACATGGACATTTTTTTGCTCACAGAGGCCTTTCAGATTTAAACATAAGTTGTGTTGGTATAAAGTATAAAGCAAGCAAGCGACATTGTTACAAAAATAATTCGGAACGTTTTGGTACACAGACAACAAATGGCCTCATCTTGTCCTTCTCTAAGGCACCAAGAGTGGAATTAACTCTAAACATTAAAGTAATTGTCGTTTCTCCTTGTCTCCGACAACGCCCTTTCCTCCCGACTAATTAAGTCTCCTTTTTATAACTGTACGGGGATACTCCTTATCGCTTGAAACTAAAAGCCTTTTAGGATACTGTAAAACTCGTAATGCTGTAAGAGGTTTTTTATTGTTCCGAAAACGCAAATACCACACTTTTAGCGCATTGATACAAATAAAAAGCTTTAATGTGGTGCGCCGCGTTCGAGATATTTTTCATAGCTTGATATTTTTGATACCAGGTAAGTTCGGAAAGAAGATTTTACTGACAATTTCTATTTTTCAATCCAAAATTCTATATTTTATACGGTATTTTATTGGAATGCTAATAAAGGGTAATTAGATTAAGCATAACTAATAAGTTTCTAAAAATACAAAATTCTTTTTTTAAAGATGACTATTTCTTACAATTAAATTACAGTAAATTACAATATTTGTTGTAAGTTATTTGTTAGAAACTGATACCTACTCTGTCAACAAAAGTGGAGAAATGTTACAAGACAGAATACGATTTAAGGATTCAAATCAAACATTTTCGGCTTTGGATTTATGGCTGATGGGTTAGTTTTACCCGTTTGCTTATTTATACAATTAATAAAAAAATCTAATGTAGAGTGCCAGGTGCTTTTTTTGATCGGAAAAACGTGTTGGCATAAGAAAAAATTTTCCTGCAGTTAATCTAATCTTTAGTTTCTTAAATGACAGATTGACGCGAAACTCCAATTGACTTAATTGATTGGCAAGTTTGGATATTCAACGAAATTGAAAATATCAAAATTGTGACATGAAAGGTGACAAGTGGAAATAATATTCGCCTAATTTGATATTAATAAATAGTTCAATAATTTAACTTTTTAAAACATTACCACAGAAAATGTTAAACAGTATTTTACTTAGAAAAAATGGAATGAATATGCCAGGAAAATAATCAAAGATAGAAACTAGTCACAATCGACTGTGTTATTTTGGGAAATTCGAACATTAGTTATTACAGGAAATTAAACAGGCGAACAACATTTCTGCGTTTTCGAGAATTATCAATTCCTTAAACTCTGTTACAAAGCATATTCCGATGACCAAAAACAATCCAAATTAGTCAAAATCAGTTACCAAAATGTCACTAATCTCAAACATACTTTGAAATTTGAACTTGAGACAGCGTCTGGCTTAAATAGTTTCATGCAGGTAATTATGTTGAAGAGACGAAGAAACTATATCTCTCGGTCACTTCATACGAGCGTGGTGGTGTGTTGTGTTCTTGCTGAACGGTATGGTACGTAATTAAATCATCTTCCGTAGCAGTAATAAGAGCAATCTACTGTAGTGTGCTTTTAAGGACAATAAATTAAAGTGCCAACTCTATTCCTGTGCTTTTGGATTATGGTTTTAACAATAACTGCATTTCCGCCCTGGATGTAAGATCATTCAATACTTTGTGAATTACGTTTATGTCAATTTCTAAAAAACGAGCGCTTAAATGAATGAACCAATATTTTTTTTAACTCACTGTCAACAGATGCATTTCTTTAATCAGTAACGTTTTAAATAACAAGATAGTGCAAAGTCTGACAAACTTTGCATGGTGTCATTCAAATGCAAGAAAGTTATTAAGTGTAACAACTGAGTACTAAGTTCAAATTAAATAAAGAAGTCGAAATTCGGAAACGATACCAAAACGATGTGCCCTGAGGAGCTGCAGCAAAATTAATTAATTTTGCTCAACTTTGTTTAACTACGAAACGGAAGCCTTCCGAACGCGATTGTTTACAACGTTTGTGCTAACTGTCTGATGAACCCCTCCTATACAACGATTACACTTATGTACCTCTCGAGCACGCTGAACCCATACTCGTGTTAGTGGTCATAGATAGCAAACAAATGCGTTAACCTTAAACATAGTACGGTGACACCGTTGGCTGCTTCATCACTATAAAATATGTATGGTATTGAAGTTAGCGCGCAAAAAGATTGTTTATTGCTTTTGATCTTAACATCGCTGAAGTGGTGAATTAACTTATTGTTCAATTTTGATGTAAAAACACCTGCCGCAGGCTCTTTTTGAGAGATAATTTACCTCTAAGAAATGAAGCGTTTTGCGAAATTTCGATAGGCGATGAAAGATAAACAAATTTTAATTGAAAATTTGAGCGTGATTAAATTATGTGCCGAAATATTGAGAGCTAGGCAGGACCGATAATACTACAAGAAATAAATATTTCTGTAAAAAGTTTTAGTTAATTGGTTTGGTAGGTAGGTACGAAACAAAAAATTCTATTGTTTTATTTTCAACAACTTGCATCATTTCTGGAGAAGACCCGAGAGGCCGTAATGAATATCGTATGACATATTCAAAGGAGATTCAACAAAGGTTTAAACCTCGTAGAAATTATGAATGAAAATCCCTTCATTTGCACCAGACTGGTTTGACAATATGGATAAGATAAAAGTAGTGCAATCTTTGGATTTGTTTTGTATAATAAGTTTAAAAATCATACGTGTGGCACTCAAAATCTCACATCTTGTGACAATGCCATACCGAATTCTAACCAACAAAGGATGGAAATTCAACTCGGTGAAGTGCAACATAGCTGTTTTCTTAACCTAGCATGCAAAATATATATTACATTTCCACACTTATTAAAAAATTTATTATAATTCCCATAAACAAATATTTGCTAAGATTTATTAATTTAGGAGATAATTCTTGAAGGTAAGTTTGAATGACATTTCAGAGTTGTGGTAGCTATGTATGAGAAAAAGCGTTCAAAAATACCCTTTTTTGACACTAAGTTGGTTATTGTGGCGTGTACCGTCATGAGTTGTAGAGCGAAATATGTTTTTCCTGAAGATACTGAGTGTATAGAGGCAGGTCAAGAATAAGTAAAGTATCAATTTTGGGTTTTACAAAAAAATAGTAGCATTTGTGAATTTTAGCAGCTCATTTGTGCGAAATTGCGGTTACGATTTTGAAATTATTCTTAAAAAATCAGCATCTACTTTTATGTGATCCTACAAAATGTAGTCACATCAGAAAATTTTAGAATTTCTGAGATTCAACGGTAATAGAACCCCGAGTTCGTAGAAATTACTTTTTACTCTAAACTACTCACTACATGATAAAGCAAAGTAATGTTAAAATGTCGCGATGTATTTTGTACTCGTCGTGGCATGCGCTGCGCCGTACTACGACTTCTTATTTTCTACAAATAGCACCTCTCGTATTTGTGGTTATAAGCATCTTACCAGGGCCTCTAGCATTTTTGTGAGGGTATGGAAAGTGTCAACACAAATTCGAAAATAGGATCGACCGTCGAATCGTCCATGGAAATTTCTTTGAGTGATGATACATTATCCAGCTTTTACGGAATGTTTAGTTGGAAAAAATAAATAACAGTGATTTGGATGTTTTTTAATAAATGGTAATAAAAAGCGGATCTCTAACAACTTGTGCAAAGTGCAATATCCTACTGTGATTAATCTACGGTCCATCGTTATTGAAATTGTACACAATCACAATAATATTTGTATGTGCATATTATTGACATTATTATTGATCGTGTGATTTATGCTGATACATATTTTGGCTACATTTTTAGACATTATTTCAATAACTTTTCTTCTTTGGTCCTTGTATCATTGGTGAAAACCAAGTGGTTCGAGTTTCATTTGAAACTTCAAAGACATTTATTTTACATTTTATATGTATTTTATATATAGATTTATACTATCTGCGGTGCGTCGCTGTCCTTTATGACCAGAGCGCTGCATTCAGAGCTTTCGATCCATTATGCCCTTCTTCACTCTCTCCCCTAGAAGAGCAGTGTACTCTCGTTGAAGTACAGTACTTCTTTTATGTAGAATGTGAATAATTCCTTTGGCTCAATGAATGGAGCTCTCTACTCTTAACTAGCTGCCCCTAGTGGTGCGCAGCTGATGAATTGGAGTTTCCTCTCCTAAATACATCTTGCATTTGCTTTATATTTGTTTAGTTTTGGTTAGTTCTGGTAAACATTGCCTTCGAACAACTGTTGAGGTAGAGGAGGACGCGCGAATGCAGTGGTGGTGGACGTTTGAACTACTGTGATATCATTTTAGCCGCACTGTCAACATTTAAGGAAACTACACTTTTGCTTCATGTTCGTTTTTGACTTTATTTGTAGAACATATCCATTTTTTAATGAATACATAAATGAAATAAAAAGCTTCCGTGATGAGTAAAATATATTAACAATAATGTTGGCGATGTCTTTCCACTAAAAAACTTTTTACTCATATTTGGTACATCTGAGGGTACACCTTAATATAGCAATCTATATAAGAATTTCTAAAACAATTAATTTTTTAATGTTTCAACTTTTTTTTTCTGAAGGACTACAGTTAAAGTGTGCTCTTGCAGGACGGCCATAGGCGTAGGTTAGAAAATTATAACAAAATCATATATATTGTGCAATATTTCAGGCAGGCAGTTAACACAGATAAATACTCCTAATGGCGTAATAAACATTTTAGTATGATATATTAATCCATGATGTTAATAGTAATAACTATATTAGTAAAACGGGCGGTGCATCGGCGACTTTCATTCCAATGAAACTGTTAAAATATGTTGACAGAAATTGAAATTGAACTTTTAAAAAAAGACATTTTTTTAATTGATTAACTCAGTAGTGGTTATCAACAATACCATAATGCATAAAAAACACCAACTTCATTCTGGAGGTAACAAGAGATTATAGACTACCTTACCCGCGTAGATATCGGATTGGAAGAAAATATAATAAATAACGCACTAAGTATTAGCTATAGTGAATTTACGGAAACATTGTTTCAACATTGAAATATTGAAAGATCGAGCACGAATCAAGAAACTCGTTTTATGTTTATAGATCTCCAGAAACCCTACGACACTCTTCCTATTAAAAAGTTATGGAAGGCCTTACAGGAAACCAACATTAGCTTGACATTAACAAATGTTCTCAAAAACATCTCCAATGGATCGACGTCAGCAGAAAAGTAGGTAACAGAATATCACATCAGTTTCCTGCAAATAAAGGACTGCGTCAGCATATCACCCAAACTCTTTATGATATTTGTTTGGCATTAAAGCAGTGGAAAAGGAAATGACATAGAATGGGAATTGAAATATATTTATCTAGCTTACAATTCGCCGTTCATCAAGTGGTAATAACATATCACGAAGATGACTTGCAATACATGGCGCGAAAACTGAGGAAGAGGAATACAGAAAATAGGGTTTAGAACTCAAGAGCCAGAAAAATAAGTACCTGGCCATAGTAGCGGAACCGTCTAATATAATATTCAATTGGAATCAGATGAAATTGGATTCTGTAGCTACTACACATATCTGGGAGTTGATTTTCATACAACGGGAAGAGATGAAAGGGAATGAATAAGCGAATGACGCAAGCAAGGAGAATAACTGGCTCTCTAAACAGTATTTTTTGGAATTAAAGAAAGTTTATGATTTATGAGTCGCTTATTAAGAGTAGTCTGCTTTATGGCTCAGAGACGTGAAGTGTCACAAGAAGCAATCGATGAAAGCGGGAAGCAACAGAAGTGGATGTATTTAGAAGATCGCTAGGAATATCCAGAGGAGAAAGAATTTGAAACGTGAAACGATGGTAGTAAATGGATCTTTAACAACTGACATTGAAAGAAAGCAATTCGCATGGTATGGCCATGTACAAAGAATGGAGTAAGCGAGACTACCAAAACTAGTTATGGAGTGGGTACCGCCAAGCTGTAAAAAACCTGAAAGATCAAAAAAGACCTTGAAATAAGAAGTGTGCAAAACAATGAGTTCACGAAATCTGAGAGAGAGGCAATGGAGTGACAGACTCGCATGGAAAATAAGCCTCGGACAATGTCGTAGGACATTCTGAATCCGGTATATAGATAAATAAATATTGATATTATGTCACATAAACACGTCTTTCTTCTATTTATGGCCATTATCTTTAGGCGGATAACACGGGGAAAACTACCTTAATTGATGTTAAACTGATTGGTTCTATTTGAATTATTGGTGGGCCGCCCTGTTATCCTTTTGCTTGTATAACGAAGTTTTATGGCTCTGTAGTTAAAAATGTAATCTGATTTTGTTACTCAAAATTCAGATCGCTAATGAATCCCGGTTTTTCGTAAAAATAATAGATGGAATAAAAGTTTAAAAAATTAATAAACAACCCAGAAATGATGATTTAAACATAACACGAATTCTGAAGATGATCCCTAATAAGTTCGAAACGGTGCATTACAGACTCATACTCATATATATATATATATATATATATATATATATATATATATATATATATATATATATATATATATATATATATATATATATATATATATATATATATATATATATATATATATATATATATATATATATATATATATATACGAGTGTTTTCTAGGAAAATTTCGGAAAAAATCTTGGTGCCTTAAAAACATTAATTAGAAAATAACAGATTATGTTAATTTGCCATCGTTTGGTGTGTCCAGATACCCAAAATAGTAAAAGTATATTACCTTAGATTTTAAGTAAACTATTTTTAACGTCGGTCTTAGTTCAATGTCGTTCTTAGTTCAATTATGCCGACGTCAGTGCTACGCCAAAATGCTTGTTGGGATCTATCTTTTATTTGAATAATTATAAAGCTGTACATCGAAATTTATTGGGGTACTCACAGTTCATGTCGACGTGCAGCGTCGCCGCCAATGGTGGCGTCTTTTTATTATTCGTCGCTTGACAAGTAAGTTCCGAATGGACGTCCCGACGACCCAGATTAGAGATTCGCAGCTCACTGCGGACGATGTTGCTGGACGGCAAGGCGCCGACGCTTCCTCCGGGTGTCAGAAGCGTCACGCCGCTACTGTTGCTGACTGGCACGTCGTTACGAAACCACGACACAGTCGGCGGCGGTTTGCCTGCGGAGGAGCAAAGGGGATGTATCGATAAATATTTTTTTCATGATGAGGCTCGTGGGCGGTTACGGATTTATTGAACGGACTGAACGGACCCAAAGATTTGGTCTCCGTCCTCTCCTTTCCGAGAACATTCCGAAAACAATGTTATACGCAGCGAGGAGTATTAATAATACACTTTTCCCGCTTCCGACATTCAGCACAGAATATTGTAGCCAAAGTACGAGGCTTTAAAAAAGCTTCACATTTGGGACAATTACTTTCATATCATACCTTAGAAGCCCTTAAAGTAACTAAATCCTTTTGCAATGCAATACAATAAATTAAAATAAGAATAGCTTCATTAATGTTATTGGTTAAAAAGATACAGAGTAGTGAAAATTACACTTAGCCATGTTCGTTACAAATAGCGATCCCCCAACATTTAAGTCGTTTTTGAGAAAACACTGCCAAAAAAATACCACATCCAGAGTGAAAATTGCTAAAAACTTGATTTGCAATGCTGTACATGATCATAGTGAATGGGTCTTCTCAATATTTTGTTCACTTTGGCTTGAAAAGTTCTGTATATGCAGTATTAGACAGGGACTGAACCCACACATGAACATATATTGTATTCTAGGTTTTAACGTATTGCATGTCAAGCGATTTCATTGTATGCCTGAGGACTTGTACATAGTAATTAGCATTTGAAAATAATACAGAGCTAGTAATATTTTGTAAGTAGGGTATTAGCGTCGATCGATGAATATAAAAGTTCAATCAAGGAAGTCTTAAAGAACGAGTGTCCCCCTATTTTTATAAATAGTCACCGAGAAACGAAAACTTTTCACTCTATATACCCAGTAGCTAGGTGGTTTGAGCATTGAATTTAATGAAGAACCATGTTCATTATAATTTTTCGCCCTGTAAAAGTGAGACCGTTTTGACTTTGACTAGAAAAAAAAATAATGCTTTCTAGGTAAAAAGCTTGCCATATATTAGTTTTTAAATTGCACATTATAAGAGCTGGTCGGCTTTTAAGAAAGATCTACCAATCGTTTTCTTAAGTCCTGTAGTTAAAATTTTTTGGCAAAAAAAACATTTTCTATTTCTTTAAACTTTAGATTACATCACCGGCCTGTGTCGCAATTCAACTTTTTTTTGGAATTTTACATTTTAAAACAACACATATCTTCATAAATCTATTTTTGCATTTGTTATTTCGAATTGTTCTGCACGCATTTTGCATTCATCACGTCACTCACTGAATATATTCGTGTTATCTTGCTTTGCTCGTCCTTAAATAAACTGGTGCCCAAAGGGTCGTTTATAGAACTTTTTCCATAATATTCTTAAATAAACTGAACTTTAGACTTAGCTTATAAATTTTAAAATTTCTATAAAAAATTGAATTAATGAATTTAGGGATTTAAATTTTTTGTGATGCAAGTCGAAATTTCAAAGAAAAAGAGAAAGAGAAAAAGAGATTCAATAATTTGTTTCTTTTTGCAATGTCATGGATGTTTCTAGAACTAGCCGCAGAACTATTTTGCCAACTCTAGCTAAAGTACAAATGATAAACTCCATATTGTAGCTACATTGGGTTCTATCCCGAAGCAGTATTTTCATTCATTAATCTAGATTTTCACAACATAAACGCTAGGGCGTTGAATATTATGCTTTGCGTTTTTCCTCTGCTCGGATCGAGGATATTTCTCGCTAATCTGGAAAAATAACCGTCTATAAGTTTTGTGTTGACAATATTGCGCTTCGCTTAAACCTTGTATGATACATGTGTTCGGAAAATGTATGAGGTTTGTACTTGCTGCTCGGTATAATATACGTTTAGTACTCAGTAATAATTTCGAAATAACTCATTAAAGAATGAAGACAAATACGGTTTGAATCTAAATAAACTTGTGGAATGATTTTGTGATAATCCACTGTATCTTAAAGAAAAATCATTGTGAAAATATCTTAAGCACAATAGACTCTATTAGTTATTGATTTAGATATTTAAAAGGTAGGATCGAGATTGCGTCAATGTTTCTGGGAGTGTTCCACGGTCAAGAATAGTTCAATGTAGGATGCTGGGTGAGTTTTTTATAGGCAAATAGATATGCACATTTCTTGTGTGAAAGATTACCTTTGTGTATCACAGTATGAAGTTCATTTGTTTGCTGTATTAATTAGTTATACAGTATTATTTTTATTCGATGTAGTTTCTATATGACGTTTTCCATGTGCAGAAAAAGGTACCAAGAGAATTATTATTATTTTATTTTTTGAAATTTTTCATTCTCACTTCGTCATTTCAAGAAAACTACATGGTAATTTTATCTGTTTGTATTGCATTTAATTAATAAGCTAATTTTTCATTTTAAATACTTATGCTACAAAAATATTAAATAAGTCATTGTGTGTTTAAGTCCCCTGGTTGACCGCTGCAGCTTCAGAACGGGTACGAAATAGTCAGAAATATACTCCCTACAAAACTTACAAATCTAAAGAAATTCAGTGGCTTAAAATTCAAAGTAGATGATACCTCTATAAAAAAAATCACTCAATATAATTATCAGTCACTTGCATCAAGCCTTGCTACTATTAGATAATTAAAATGTTTTATGGCTCTTTCTTGCCTTAGGTCTCCTTATTTTTTTTATGAATCTTTTACCTCACAAACTCCCTACCAAAGTATCGAAAAGGTCCGAAATAGCTCTCGACCGTGCAAAAGCAAAACCAAAAATGTTCGCTGGTGTTGGGTATTGGTAATTACGTAAAAGTAATTTAAAGCAAATAAGAATTTCATTTTCCCATATATCATTTGGCTACCATTAAAAAAATTATTGATTCTGTCACAAGGTGGTACATTTTGTCTCAAAGTATATCATCTTGGCTTTCAACGGCATTTGTCGTAATAACTTGTCGATGGCAATAAAACACCTGACCAGTCTGTATTGAAGGACAGAGCATCAGGGACGAACTTAAAAGGAAGTATTATCCGTTGGTTGTTTGGCAAAATGTGACACAAATATGACAATACTAAATATACACAAACCATCAATAATTACTTATAAGGGGTGTTTTTTTTTCGATGTATAGAACTTTAAGTTGCAATAAAACAACGATGGATTATTCGACTGACATGAATTTTATTTATCCGAAAGGTAATCTCGTGGCATTACATTTTAAATTTGATTTCTGGCATATGACCATCACGGCTGGTGCGGATGTAGTCCAATCTGGACGTCCAATTTTCAATGACTTTTTCCAAAATTTGTGGCCGTATATCGGCAATAACACGGCGAATGTTGTCTTCCAAATGGTCAAGTGTTTGTGGCTTATCCGCATAGACCAATGACTTTACATAGCCCCACAGAAAGTAGTCTAGCGGTGTTAAATCACAAGATCTTGGAGGCCAATTCGCAGGTCCAAAACGTGAAATTAGGCGGTCACCAAACGGTGTCTGTCAATAAATCTATTGTGGCACGAGCTGTGTGACATGTTGCGCCGTATTGTTGAAACCACATCTTCTGGACATCATGGTTATTCAATTCAGGAATGAAAGAGTGAGTAATCATAGCTCTATACCGATCACCATTGACTGTAACGTTCTGGCCATCATCGTTTTTGAAGAAGTACGGACCAATGATTCCACCAGCCCATAAAGCGCACCAAGCAGTCAGTTTTTCTGGATGTAACGGTGTTTCGACATACACTTGAGGATTAGCTTCACTCCAAATGCGGCAGTTTTGTTTGTTGACGTAGCCATTCAACCAGAAGTGCGCTTCATCAGTGCGCTTAAACAAAATTCGCTTATGAAAATCGGGAACAACGACAATCTCGTTTTGGGCCCATTCGACGAATCTACGCCTTACTTGATGATCGTTTGGCTTCAATTCTTGCACGAGTTGTATTTTGTAAGCACGTAAACCAAGATCCTTCCGCAAAATCTTCCATAAAGTGGATGGACACAGATCCAATTCCTGTGCTCGATGACGGATGGACTCATTCGGATCTTCCTCAATGCTACGCTCTACAGCAGCAATAGCTTCTTCTGTACGGACCGTATTGCGTCTCTGGGGATGCGAGTTATCAATAAGAGTAAACGTGGTGCGAAAACGTTTCATGGTTAATCGAATTAACTGCTCTGATGGGCGATTTTGTCGACGATAAAATGGACGTAGTGCGCGATACGTATTCCGCACAGAACCATTATTTTCGAAATAAAATTGCATTATTTGCAAGCGTTGTTCAGGCGGGAGTCTGTTCATAATGAATTGCCAAATTAAACTGAGAATAAATCACTCGACAGCTGTTAAATCGGTCGCCATCTTCAACAGTAATGCCAACTTAAAGTCTTATACATCGAAAAAAAAAAACACCCATTATAAATACGTTTCTATTTAAAATCTAATCCTGTCTCAGTCTCACAGTCATGATGTGAGTGTGTTTGATGCATTGCATTTTTCTAGTTCTCAACTTCGGAACTGAAAGTAGGAGAAACATTTTCTGTTTTCACAGAGAGAACGTGATGATATGAAAGAAGACTTAAAACAGTATGCTCACTTGTTGAATTAAACTATTGCAAATTGATTGTTTCTTAACAGAATATGAATTTCCCATGGCACTTATTATGGTAAAGCAAGTGCGTAATGTTTGCATCTCATTTTCACTTGCTTTTGGTGTATTTGACACCTTTTTGACTGACACGGCTAATAATTGTATTGGTTTCATTTTGTACTAGCTTCCTTTTCAGTGTATAGTAGGAACAATTCTCTTGCATTCATTCTTAACAATATCCCTTATAGGGTTTTTCATAATTTGTTTTGCACATTACATAACCGAAGTACTATATTATGCAACAAATGCAGTAAACGGCTTTTGATTCATGAGTTTATTTGACACAAGCGGAGCGCAGCAGAGCGAGTGTTTAACAAACGAGTGACTTAAAAAGTTTACCGAACGTGTTGCATACTATACTTTTTCTACGACCGTTAGTTTTTGGGTACATTTTCGCA